CATGGTTCATGTGTTCACGGTTAACATTGCAAAAAAATGGTTTTTAAAAAAAATTGAATGATTCATTTTGGTGCTTTTCAGTTGAAATGTCTGTATTTTTTATATAGAAATTTGACATAAAGAAAAGAATTGTGATCAAAATAAGCTTTAATTTATGGAAATAGGGCAACACCGATCAGTTTTGAAAAAACTATGGTAGCGAATTTTATAAATTCGAAACACTGATCATCGTTTTTAAATAAGCTATTAATTATAGCGTAAATTATAAATTACTATATATAGCTGCGTGTCCTTTTTCGGCGGTACCTAAAATTGTCTACATTGTTCAAAATATTGAAATATTCAAAACAAAAAAAAACATTGAATTGCTTACCATAAAAGTCCTCATCCTAAAATTGGTTAAGATCCTTTATTATTTACCATTATCCTGAGATACTATTATCTATTATTGTTTTGAAGGAAGCCAATTTCTTTCATTCTACTCTTAATCAATAAAAACTTGTCAATTGATGCTTGATAAAATTTCATTGTCTTTGGTTTAAAAACTGTGTCATAAATTTTTAATTTTCTTGTGTTTTACAAAAAACAAAACAATATATACTTTCACAATTGTATCACTTTAGGCTGTCTAATAAGCTTCAGAAATTTTAATTTTTGGGGAGTTTTTAGTCAAAGTCAGAATATTCGCATCTTTAATTTTTGATATCTAATGGAAAAGTACTACAAATGAAATGTAAAGTCACTGATTTACAACTATTCGCCTTGTTTGTCCTCCTTTTCCTCATTTATTTTTACAAATTTTAAAATACATTTAGACATGTCCCGCACAAAATGGATGTTTGTCTGCATACAGAAATTCAATTCATCCAGTTAGGAGTACTCTAATAACAAACAGACAATCGTTTCTATTTTATTTCATACGTCTGTTAAGCTTTGAGTAATTATTGTTCCGAATTTCAAAGAAATGAGGAACGTTTATGCTTGGGGTAGTTTTTTATTTAGTCACTTTTATTTAGCATACACTTTTATGGAAGTTTGCATAATACTGGTTTTTATGGAAAAAAAACGCTTTCTACCGCTCGGAGAAAAAATTTTTCGTTCATAACACTTTCTCCCTTGCTTTACTTGCTCGAAGTTAGACTAAACCATGAAAATTTGCGATATCTTCAATAGACTTTAATTTTTTTTGTTAAAAACGACTATTTCTATCGCAGTAAAGTGACAAAATAAAAAACTACCCCAAGCATAAACTTTTATGGAGTTTTGCAAACTTTCATGGTTTAGTCTAACTTCGAGCAAGTAAAGCAAGGGAGAAAGTGTTATGAACGAAAAAATTTTTCTCCGAGCGGTACAAAACGTTTTTATTTCCACAAAAACCAGTTTTAGAGGCTTCATTTAGCTCTTCTTCTTAACAATAACAGTTGAAATACACTTTTTAGCAAAAAATAAATAGGGAGTTTTTTTTCAATTCGGTTTTTAATCTTTTGTTTGTTATTTATTGTTCAAATACAACTGCTTTATATTACGCCTAAGTCGCTACTTATCTACGCGTTTGATAAAATCTCTCATCACAGCAATTTATACGAATAGCTGATACGTTCTGTGCTACTTGATTAGAATCACTTTCGTTTTTCCTTTACGCCGAATCCTTGTTCCTAATGTCATTCAATCAATTGTTTTACAATATTGATAATGACAAAGTTGTACGAGTTAGATCCCCTAGTGTTCCAATAATGGCTAGTAACACTAAGATATTGAAGACTAATCATACGCCTGAATTTTCCGACTGCATTTTAAGGTTTATGGAGCAGTAAAAACATAAAAAATTTAAATGTAATAAAACAAAATTTAAAGTTTTTTTTATTTGAAAATTTTTGTGAAAACATCCCCGACACGTCATATTTAGTACAAAGTGATAGACTTTGCTCCTATTTACAAAACAAATATGGCATATAAGCTTCCTTGAACCAATTCGGAACGATTTTTGAGACGGATTAAATGTAGCTTACGCGTTAATAGCGCGAATTATATCGCGCGTTAAGTGTCCCAAATTGACCAAAATGGCAATTTCAAACCCCTATAACTTTACAAAAAATGCTCATAGGTGAAATATCTTTTCCAATTTAAACTCAGGAAAACACTAGTTTTCGAATGATATGAAGAAATTTTGTCAAAAATGGCTAGTTAAAAATCGAAATTTGTCTGAAGAAAAAAAACCCACCCGAGAACAAATATTCCGTTACTTTCGTTAAGAAATTCGGAGCAAAAAATATTTTGCCTCCAATCATTTTTTAAAAGATCTGGTGGTTTGTAAAGTGCCAATTTGGCCATAGTTTGAAAAAATTGATGCGCGCTTTGGAAATTTAATTATGATGCCGAAAGTCGTGTACGATTTTTTTTGCGTGGCGAACTTTCGCCCGGCGAATTTTTGCGCACACCGAAGTTGTTTCAAAATGAATTTATGACAACTGTTTTTGTTTTTTCCAAACTCGCTTTCCACAAAATTAGCTCTAGCTTGAAAATGTTGATTGCCGTTTTTGTATGTTCTGTGTTTTTGTGTTTTCGATTCAACATTTTTTGAACAATTTTATTGCTGAAAAAGCGATAACTCTTTCGATGAATTTTTTAAAATTATTTTTTGCTCACTTTAGTAGGTTTTTCTACCAAACAGTTCTCTATTAGCACTCGAGACTTGGATGTTGGTATTTGTCGTATTTCAGAAAATTTGTTAAGATAATTTTCTTGTTTTCTTCTGAGCTCATAATTTTAAAGAATTTTAAAATTCGAGTCTCAGAATTGACGTTCATCCAATAAGAACGCTAGTTTATAACTAGTTGAAACCAAAAAAAAATAATTAATTTGAAATTGTTATATATCATTTTCAAATTTTGTAGAGCTAATTTGAGAAAATGAGACAGTTTTTAAAAATAAATTTTTTTATCAATATATTTCCATTTTAATAATATAATTTAAAGTGAGCTTCGAATTAAGAGTTATTTCAGCATCTTTTTAAGAGCCGATTTTAATGAAGCGAAAAGCTCAGCTCGCGTATTTGAAAATAAACTTGTATTCAGAGTAGACATACTGATTGAAAACTCGAGAAGTAGTTATTGTATATAGATAGGGTGCTTTAAAATCCCTGAATGTTTTCTCTGCCTTTCAAGTTCTATGGAGAAGTAATAACATGAAAAAATTAAACGCATTAAACAGAAAATCATTTCCCCACAAGCCATATACAATTCAAAGTGATAAATTTTGCTCCTAGTAACAACTCAAATATGGCAAATAAGCTTCGTTTAACCATTTTGGAACGATTTATAAGACGGATTAAATCTCTGCTTATGAGTTATTAACGCTAATTATATCGCGCGTTAATTGTACCTTTTTGGCCAAAATGGTAACCTTTGAACACCCATAACTTCACAAAAAATGAGCACAGGTGAAATATTTTTCGATTTTGAGCTCAAGACAACAACAGCTTTTGAATGACATAAAAATTTTTGTCAAAATTTGCTAGTTAAAAAGTCGAAACTTGCCTGAAGAAAAAAAACTAACCCCCAACACAAATTTTCCGTTACTTTGTTACGAAAGTTGGAACAACAAGATTGGATGCAAAGCCATGAATGTTCCAACCACTCTTAACCAGTCTCGTATAATTTTGGTAAAAGTTTTTTTAGTAAGTTATAAAATTTGGATCATCAATATCGAAAAGTAAATACTGAAACTTGAGTCGTATTTTGACGGATTTAGAACGGTCAATTAATTATGAGTGCGGGAAAATTTTGCCACACAAAAATAATTTTTGTTCAGAAGTTTTTCATGATTAGACCAGAAAAATCTAGCCTCAAATAGGATAATGCAAGCACGCCCGTCCAAACTGTCAAAACTTTTTTGTAAAAGTTGTTCTTGATAAAATTACTACTCGTAGTATTTATGTTTCTCAGTTTTTTTGAAAGTCTGATTTATAAATTATTTTTTGAAAGATTCAGTCAGTAAACACGGCATATTCGATTATACCCCCAAATGGATATACATAAAGCTCAAATTTTAAAATCATACAAAAGACAGCGATTTCTTTAATAATCCTGCTGCTTGTTTTGATGCCCACAGACGTGCGCTGATCTAAAAAAAAATGAAAGTGCTGTCGTTTTTGTTTTTAGGTAGACCAAACTGACATTTCCAACAGTCCAAAACAGAAAAACCGTTTTTGCCCTCACCCTCTCTCTCTCTCTCTCTCTCTCTCTCTATCTGCTTTGCATAGACATCAATCCAAGAAATAAGAAAATTTAAAACAAACGACAATAGAGAATCTCTTTTGACTCACTTTTGGTCAATTTAATGGGGAGAAACTGTCAAACATTGTTTTTGAAAACGACAAACTTGAAGCCATTTAGCATTATGTTGCTTCAAATTTGCCTGCTCCAATTTCATTTTTAGCATTTGTCTATTTTTCTACAATACCAATTCAGATTTGAAAAAAAATTTTTTCTACGCATTTTTGATCATTTAGGAGGTCGATCAACCGAAAAGACCCGTAAAAACAAGTAGCATAAAGTTATTTTTGTAATTTTTTTGTCTCAAGAAAAATCAAACAATCTTCTAACTAATGTAATAACTAATCTCACTATATCATTATTTATCAGATTTGGTTGATTAAGAAAATCGCTTTGATCAGTTTGAAAATTATTATCATCGCCTTTTGCTTAAAAAGAATATAGAATTGAGGATTTTTATATCTAAAAAATCGCGAGTAAACTGATGGCTTCTTGTAAAGTTTTGCAGGATTAAAACCTACGTGAATAGAAAAACTTTAAGCTTTGTGAAATTACTATGAGCTATAATTCTACTTGAAGATGGTTGGATGAAACCAAAAAACGAATCGTTAAATAAAAAATAGCTTTTCGGCCATTGAAGTATTTCATAATCAACGAGAAAAAAAACTTTTTCATGGCCAAAGTTCTAGCAACTCTCTCAATTAAAATACTAATATTGAATCATACCTGTGCGGAGTGAGGGTATTTAAAATGAATTGTCTTTTGTAGTTTTGAACTTAAATAATCACAGGGTTGAATGTAATAAAAGAACGATGCTTCCGTCCATTTGCAACTAATCTGCACTTGAGAGATGTGAAGTAAGTTGGAGTGAACAAAATGTGATCATCTTCAGGACATGACGATAAATGGTACTTGTCGTGTGACGTAATGGAAGTAATCCTAGGAATAAATTATCCTCCATTTCGGAAGCTCAACTTTACTACAGCACCATAACTGCGTCAAGATTTAAGCAAATGATTTCGCTTTCTTAATTATCTTTTAATCGTTTTCTTAAAACTTTAAACCAAGATAAACACAATGATAACTGCGTTTAAGTAAGGTTCATCAAGTTCAAAAACTGTTTTTTTTCTATTAAATCTTTGAAATTAGCTTGTGCGTCCTTAAAATAATTGACAAGCTCTTGCCATAAGGTTTTCTGGATTTAATCGAACCCTTTCTAAATCTCAATAAATTAAGTTCTTTTTGTTTTTCTTTTCTAATTCTCTGGTAAAATGACATATAAGGAACGAAGAGGCGGGAACCTTTATTTGAAATACTCTTATGTTTGCTTACTTAGTTTTCCCTAAATCACATTTAGAAATTTCATATCTTGTTGAACAAAAGTGTAAACAAGTTAAGGGTTGTGATGGTAAGACTGGTAATAAAGTGTTGAGTTGGCGGGCGGTTGGGCGGGCGGGTGGGTATCAATGGGATGAGCGGTGGAAAAACAGGAAGCTATTTATTCGAATTGATATTTGTGCTAATTCTCTCTAATGCCCCGAGTGAAATAGGTGAAGAAATAGAATGAGCAGTGAAGAAACAGGTAGGTAGAATAAGAACAGTAATAAGAATAATAAGAAGTATAAGAGAGTATTTTTCACAAAGTAAAGTAAGGACACAGGACCAACAAATAAACTGACCAGTTTCTGCTTTCCTCCTTCTCCTCTCCTCATTGGGCTAACTAGCAATTGGGCTCTGGTATTGAGTTGGGCTAAAATTAGGCGAAGAGATTTCTGAGCTAGAAAAAGAAAGAAAGCAGAAATAAAGAAGAAAAGAAAAGAAAAGAAAAGAAACGAAAAAAAGAAAAGGGGGTGGGGGTATGGATATATACATATATATAGAGAGAGCTGGTATTTAGGATGGAAATAGGCGCAATCTCATTGCGAAATGGTATTAAAATAGTGTGGCCAGAAAGGCCCTCCCGTTTGGCCATTAGACGTGAAAAGTTGCAATTTAATTTCATTTGACACTCACCTCTCGTTTTATTCTTTTTCGCAACTCATTTTCTTATATTTCTTCACCCAGTCCAACAAATCCGCCAAGAACTTTTCCCAACTATTTTTAAAGTCATTACAGCAATTTTCGTCTACTTTAAATTCCATTTTATAGCAACAACCAGCTATTCGAAACATTGTGCTGACACTGAAATAGAAGTCCACCAAATGTCAAATTTGACCATTGAATCAAGTTAAATTACGAATATACCCAATTACGAAAAGAAACTTTCAAAAGTTTAGTTGACAACAGGCTATTTGATTTCTGCGATCATAAATTCTCCGGGAAGTTGTTTAAGAGATACAATAACAAATTTCAGGACAAACCAACTGCGTGTAACAGGAAAAATAGTTTAGACCTTTCACAGAGCGAAATAATGGAAACAGTCAGAGCCAACAACTCCCTAACAAAAACTGATTCTATGCGCTTTAGAATACAGTTGTCAGTTTCCAATTGTAAAAAAAAACACTTGATTAGAAGTTGTGCAATTTCTGTCGTTCGTCACCATGCAGTATTTCGCCGAAAAATTGCTTAAATTGTAAGGGAAAAAGGATCTCAAGAAAAAACACTTACTCTACGGAATTTCTTAGGACTAAACTGCCACTTAATGTTTTAGTATTAAATTCAATTAAACAGCCGTATTGCAGACTAAACAAACAACAAATTTTGACAAGAGCAAATTTTAGGTTCTATTGAAAACTAACAAATAAGCTAAATGTATTTTATTACACTTACGACAAAAAATAAAAGCAAGAATAGCTGGTCGCTGTGCAAATAGTACAGTGTTCAAACAAGAGCCATCAATGCAACGAAGTCACCAAAGTAAAGAAAAATCAATTTTTAATTTTTTTCAATTGTTTTGCGCGTTTTGTAAAGTAAATGATTACACAACCGATGATAGCCCAGGTCGAGGTGTTCGATTAATGTCCCGACCGAATTCGGTCAAACACACGAAAGTTGTTTGATTCAAAATCCGAGGTCGAAAACAGACCTTTCAGTCAAGCACAATTTCGAAAAATAGTCGAACACTAAGTCGAACACAAAGTGTGTTCGAAACATGTAGCTATAAAAAAATTATCGGACAATTTTTTAAAATTTTGAAATACTCGGGACGATCAAGTTTAAATTAAGTTGAATATATAGGACTAAACTGCCACTTTTTTCCCTGCTACAATAGCTAAAAATGTTCGCGTTTGCCTTTTTGTCGGCGTTTGATGCGTTGTTGTTTTTTGCTCTAACAATTGCATGGCATATTGTTGCCGAATAAAAACTTTTTCAATTGTGTTTTTGAAATGAGGCAAAAATAAAATTTTCCGAAAAAGCACAAAATTTTTTTTTCATTGCATTTTTGACAGTTCAAATGCAGTTTTGAAAATAGGACTACAAATTTAACGCCATTTCACAGTCTCAAGATCAGAATTAATTCAAAAATTTAAAGCGTTGTCCGATAAATTTGCTAAAAGCTATAGTAGAACACGAAAAAAGGTCAAAACATAGTCGAACACCATTTAGAACCATAGTCAAACAAACAAGCGAACAGATAGTGTGGTTGAAACATAGCCAAAAACAAAATCGAAACATAGTCGAACACAAAATTGAAACCTAGTTGAAAAATTTGACGAAAAATAGTCAATCACAATTTTTAAATATATTGGTACACAACATCGAAATATAGTCAAAACTATATCGAAACCTACTCAAACACAAGCTCGAAACATAATCGAACACAAATAGTGAAAATAGCTAAAACAAATTTGAAATTTGTTTTTTTTTTGTTTTCTGATTTTGCCTAAAATTATGTTATACAGATGCAAACAGCAAAAAATCCAGTGTATATGTGGCTTATTGTGCAATTTAGCGAAATTATTTAATTAATTATTTATTTTGTATGTTTGGTTTGTAATGTCAATTTTGATTGGTGAAAATAATAATTGTCTATACTCACTTAACGAGTATGAATACGTTAATGTTTATTTACTGCTTTTGCTATGTACTTTTCTTCTATATAAGTAATCATGTTTGAATATATAATCGGGTATTCAAACACACCTACGGTTTTTTTGTTTCATTGAAAAGTTAAGGATTTTTTTAAAAAATCTTTTAAAAAATCATATTTTTTGCTTAATAAAAACACTAAAGATAAGAAGCACCTGTTTTTCTTTTGAGAAATTTAAACACCAAAAAAAACATACATGTACTTTTTCGATAAACATAAAATTACATTAGAAAACAACAGGCGAAGAAAAACAAAGCTAACCGGTTGCTGTAAATAAGCACAAAAGTTTTCAAATATACTAAAAAATTATCTATGAAACTTTTTCATGATTTTATTTTCAATTTTGTGTCGAATTTTGAGTTGTGTGATAGATTTCTAAAAACTATTTTCATTTTTTTGCAATTTTTTTTTTAATTTTGAAGTTTTTTTTGTTCCCATGATAGCAAAAAATATTTTTTGAGACACTTTTACTGGGGCTAAACTGAGGTTTTTTGGCTTATCTTTTTATAAAAAGCCTGCTCGCTTGTTTTTCTTGCTCAAATTTAAATTAAAACTCGAAAATTCCAAACCGGTTCTCGACACTGGGACAACATTTTGAAATTTTTCAGCGTCGTTTGAAGCGAAGCTGAAAGAGCCTCAAAATGATATACCACCATACCCCCACTCCACTCATTACGATGAGTTTTTGCTATAAAATTTTTGGTTGAACAACAAGAAATTGTGGCTCGCTCATCTGGCTCGCTCGAACTTAGACAAAAAATTATAAATTTCAAACAGGTTTTTCTCAACACTGGGATTTTTTTCTCTAAATAATTCGAATTTCTTCTGGAAGGGCTTTTAATTTGATATATCTTTTAACCAGTTCCGATGATTTTTTGGGGTACCTGAGGAAAAAAATCATAAAACTTACGAATACAAAATTCTTCTCTATTTTCAATGGTCGGAACAACAATTTTTTTCACGTTTTGATTTTAGCTGTCGAAAAAAGAAAGTATGAGAATTATTTCGAAGACATGTAACACTATTTGAATGGCTTTTGGTTGTAAACAATGTTTTGATTCGAATGGTTACTAGGAATATATGAAACGATTCAGAAGGAACCTTCACCTTTCCTCATACTTAGAAGTGATCAACTTTGAATGCTTAAACATGTGCGCAGGTCTTAAAAAAGGAGTCTTCAGAGGTTTTGGGCAGCTTTGGGAAGCTGACAATTGGGCATGTTAGTTTGCTTAAATATAAGAACATAGCCAACAGACAGTTGGAAAAGAGTAATTGAACGCAAGTAAACAGAAGAAAAACTGACTAGTTTCTTAAAAATTTCACCTTTCCAAATTTGAAAAAATATTTATATGGCTTAATGGTTCTGGGAATTTTTATAACACTTTATGGTAGACGCTTTTTTGATGAAAACAACTCAATTTGAGAAAAATGGATCAATTGGAAAAATTTTAATTTCGCTGATTAGAAGTAGATCAGGTTTATTGTGACCTGTACACTTTTGCTGTTCAGTAGTGGAGTTTGCTTTCCTGTTAACAAAGGAAATGAACTGATTTCAAAACGAAATCGAAAGTCGAGCCTCGAAAAAATAAATTTCAGCCTGATCAAATTTTCGACTCTTCCTAAAAAAAAACAAAAAAAATCATCGCGAACTATATAAGAGTCTGAAGTACCTTCATCCACTCCTAAAAATTCGGATCTATAGAGCAATTTCTCTCCGCCCCCATCGCCTCCTCTGAAATAATCCGCTCCTGCTCGAG